ATAGTAGAAAAAGGTCCAGAGAGAATATTAATGCATCTCTGAACTCTCATCAATGAAGCTCTCTCATGCAACAGAGGGAAGTGAACCCAGGGCTCAGAATCACTGTAGAAGAGAGAGCAGAAAGAATGCAAGAGCCAGAGTGGGAAGGGATATGACAATATCAAAACAGAGTCTCATAGTCTCTTGGGACCTTGCTCATATAGACTTACATCAATGGTGACAGCATGCACAAGACCCATGCAAACTCAAGCAGACAAAAACCAAGAATAGAACTGTAGAAATGAACAGCAAGACTCAATCATAGCTGAAGAACTATTGAGCAGACGATTAAGACTAGGTGAGGAAAAACTGGTCTTCTTTAATGGAGCAACCCTAGATAGGCTGACCAGACCCCAGTGGATGAATTTGCATTGAGGGACATCAGGGCACACTAACTTGACTCTATAGGCCTTAACATAAATGAAAGAACGCATGAAATCCAGTGGGTTGGTGCTATTGGAGGGGGCTGATAGGGGAGAGGGTATAATTATAAAGATGATTTTATGTATGAAATACACAAAAATTTGCTCCTAGTCTTGGGCACAGTCCTGCTTCTGCTCTCAGCACCCCAGACCTCTAGACTACACTCTTGGCCCAGATCTACACATTGCATCCTGATCCTTTGCACCCAGACCAACCCAGTTATTCAGTTTAGTTTCCTAGAGCCTTCACAACCTGTCCCCCAACCCCCAACTTGCCTTTGCACACCTGAGACCAGCCTTCTTCCCTGGCTGTCCCCACCTCCACCCTGCCTGGGGTTCCTGAGACCAGTCTCCTTCTCTGGTATGTTTGATCCTGCTCACTGTGCCTTAACTCCCACAACCTGATTCAATCTCCCAGAGCCCACATCCTGCTCTTCTAGCCGTGGGCACAGGCCTGTTTCTGCTCCTAGCACTCTAGACCTCTAGACTACCCTCTTTGCCCAGACCTACCTACTGTGTCCTGATCATTTGCACCCAGACCAACCAACTTCTCTCTTCATTCTATTTTTCTAGAGCCTTCACCTCAGCCTGTCTCCACCCCCAACTTACCTTTGCACACCTGAGACCAGTCCTCTACACTGGCTGTCCCCAACCCCAACTTGCCTGGGAGTCCTGAAACCAGCCTCCTTCCCCAACTGCTTGAGATCACCTGAATCCTACCACCACCTAGCAAGCCTCCCAAATTGTACTGTGCCTGCTGATGACGGGGACCCAGACCTTAGGAAGAAGCCTGAGGACATCTGATCCTCATCTGACTTGGGCCTCTGTGGGAACTCCTGAGCAGCTGGACTAAAGCCATCAGGCCTCTCCAATATAAAATCAAAAGAGACAACCTGAAGCTTAGACCAACCACCTTTTCATACCCAATAAGAAAACAACATAGGCACACCAAGTATACAAACAGAAAGACTTAAACTCAGCAAAGGAAGTCTTACACAAGCATCAGAAGCAATAAAATAAATCCACATGCCAACATCACCACAAAAAAAAAACATGAAAACCCCAAATATGTCCCCACCAGCACCTATAGAGGAAGTATACAATGAGAACCCCCTAGAGATAACCCAAGACACAGAATTGAAAACAGCAATTACAAACATGATAAAGAATTCAGTGAACTTAAAGAACACATAAAGAAATCAAAGAACTGAAAGAAGGTAGGGATAAAGTTCTGCGTGAATTCACAAAAGGGTATTGAAGAATACTCAGACTGAAATGAAGAAGGAAGTGAAACACTTGATAAGCCAGTTAGAAATGACAGGAGAAAGCCTCATCAAGAGAATGAATGAAATGGAAAACAGAATATCAAGAGTGGAAGATAAAGTTGACGAATTGGACCACTCAAGCAAAGATTTTGAAAAATTTAAGAAAATGCAGGAATGGAATGTGCAGGAAATTTGGGACACCATGAAAAGACCAAATGTACCCTTCATAAGCATAGAGGAAGGAGAAGAGTCACAGAATAATGGTATGGACCAGATCTTCAACAGAACTGTAGAAGAAAATTTCCCAAAATTACAAAAAGACATGCAGGGGCTGAAGAGATGGCTCAGTGATTAAGAGCACTGACTGCTATTGCAGAGAACTGTGTTTGATTTCCACACCCACATGGTGGCTATGAACCATCTTTAACTCCAGTTCCAGGGGAATCTGAAGCCCTCTTCTGACCTCTGTGGCATTGCATGACATGGGTGCCCTCACATACATGCAGGCAATACACTCATACACATAAAATAAAAATAGTAAATAAAATATTTTTAAAAAGACATGCAAGAAGCACATAGAACACCAATTGGTCCAGAAAAGAAACTCTCCATGGCATATCATAGTAAAAACACTAAGTGTACAGAACAAAGAGAGAATACTGAAGGCTGCAATAGAAAAACAAGAAGTCACATATAAAGGAAAACCCATCAGAATTACAGCTGAATTTTCAGTGCAAACTGTGAAAGCCAGAAGAGCCTGGACCAAAGTATTCCCAGTTCTAAATGACCACAGAGGCCAACCCAGAATATTTTACCCAGCAAAAATGTCTATTATAGTAGAAAGGGAAAGAAAAATCTTCCATGTCATAAATAGGCTGAAAGAATACATGTCCACAAAACCATCCCTTCAGAGAATTCTTGAAGCAATACAAAGAGCTGAAGAAAGGAACAACTATACCCAAGGGGTAACAGAAGGGAATTAAATGAAGGTATAACTGTGGGAACACAAAGTTAGACCGAGAATGCAAACAGAAATCAAAATGACAGGAATCAATACACAGCTTTCAATAATAACTTTAAATATCAATGGATTGAACTCCCGAGTCAGAAGACACAGGCTAGTTGAATGGATTAAGGAACAAAGTCCATCTTTTTTGTTGTCTGCAAGAAACTCATCTCACCTTCAAGGACAGGCACTACCTTAAGGTGAAAGGATGGAAAAAATATTCCAAGCAAATGGCACTAACAAAGAAGCAGAAGTTGCAATTCTAATATCTGACAAAATAGACTTCAAACTAAAATTAATCAGAAGAGATAAAGAGAGCCACTTCATTCTGATCAAAGGAACAATTGACCAAGAACCTATTACAATCATGAACATATATGCATCGAACTCTGGTGCACCCAACTTCATAAAAACAGTACTACAGGACTTCAAGACATAGATTAATGCCAACTCATTATAGTAGGGGACTTCCATACTACACTTCCTGCATTAGAAAGGCCATCAGGACAAAGAAAAAATAGAGACATCTGAATTAAACAACACCATGCATCAAATGGACCTAACAAACATCTATTGAATATTCCACCCAAGCACCAAAAAATATAATTTCTATTCCACACCCCATGGAACTTTCACCCAAATCAACCACATACTGGGACACAGAACAAGCCTCAGCAAATACAAAAAATTTGAAATAATTCTTTGCATTCTATCAGACCACAATGCAACAAAGCTAATATTAACACCACAAGAAACCCTCGTAACCACATGAACTCATGGGGATTAAATAACATGTTTCTGAATGATGAATGGGTCAAAGGAGAAATTAAGAAACAAAAGTATTCCTGGAACTAAAGGAAAACAACAATACAACACAACAAAACCTGTGGGACACTTTAAAGCAGCCTTAAGAGGGGTTTATAGTTCTAAGTGCCTACATTAAAAATTCAGAAAGATCACAAAGAAATGACTTAACATTGCAACTCAAGACACTTGAAAAGCAACAACAAATGAAACCCAAGCCCAGCAGATGAGAAGAAATAACAAAAATCAGAGAAGAAATTAATGAAACAAAGAAACCAATACAAAGAATCAAGGAATTCAAGAGCTGATTCTTTGAAAAGATAAACAGATAGACAGACTGTTAGCCCAATTAACCAAAAGAAAGAAAGAGCAACTCTAAATCAACAAAATCAGAGATGAAAGGAGAAGCATCAAAACAGATAACAAAAAGATCCAGGACATTATAAGAGAATATTTTAAAAACCTATACGTATTAAATTTGAAATCCTAAAAGAAATGGATGTGTATCTAAAATCAAGAAGTGATCAACAGCTTTAACAGACCCATAACACATAAGGAAATTGAAACAGTAATACAAAATCTCCCAACTGAAAAAAGCTCAGGCCCAGATGGATTCACAGCAGAATTCTACCAGACATTTAAAGAGCTATACCGAATACTACTTAATTTATTCAAAAAGATAGAAACAGATGGAGAACTCCCAAATTGCCTCTATAAAGCCAGCATAACCCTAATACCCAAACCAAGTAAGGATACAACCAAAAAAAAAAAAAAGAAAACTATATAACTATATCCTTAATGAACATAGGTGCAAAAATTCTCAACAAAATACATGCAAACCACATAGAGACACACATCAAAAAGATCATCCAACATAATCAAGTTGGTTTTATTCCAGGGATAGTTCAATATATGTAAGTCAATAAACATCATGAATTATATAAATGGACTCAAAGACAAGAACCACATGGTCATGTCAATAGATGCAGAGAAGACTTTGACAAAATTCGACATGCA